CAAGCAAGTAGACAATGGAATCATAAGATAACTAAGTTTCTTCTTACTGCTGGTTATACACAGTCTATGGCCGACTATTCCCTATTTACAAAATCTAACATGGGTAAATTACTTGCTGTCTTAGTGTATGTTGACGATGTTATATTAGCAGGTGATGATTTGGATTCACTTAACTTGCTTAAGTCTCAATTAGATGCTGCCTTTAAGATCAAAGATCTTAGACAGCTCAAATACTTTCTAGGCTTAGAGATAGCTCGTTCATCTGCTGGTTTTTCTGTATGTCAACGGAAATATGCTCTAGATTTGCTCAATGATGCAGGGTTGCTTGCTGCCAAACCTGCTGCTACACCCCTTGCTGCAGGAAGTCAGCTCTCTGTTCATGATGGTGAACCTCTTTCTGACCCTAAAATAGATCGTAGACTCGTAGGACGTCTTTTATATTTGTGTCATACTCATCCAGATATTGTGTATGATGTGCATCATTTAACTCAATTCATGTGCATACCATCTGATGTTCATCTCAATGCTGCATATAGGGTTCTTAGCTATATCAAGAACAACCCAGGTCAAGGTTTATTTTTTCCTAGTAATACTTCTGTTAAGCTTACTGGGTTCTCAGATAGTGATTGGGCAGGCTGTCCTGATTTGTGTAGATCAACAATTGGATATTATGTGTTTTTAGGTGACTCAATCATTAGTTAGAGATCGAAGAAGCAGCCCACTATTTCTCGATCATCAACTGAAGCGGAGTACCGTGCAATGGCAGATTTGGTATGCGAAGTACAGTGGCTGCATTACATTTTCCAGGATTTGGGTGTTAATTTTAGCACTCCTACTGTACTATTTTGTGATAATCAGTCTACCATTAGGTTAGCTGAGAATCCAGTTGCACATGAACGTACAAAACATATTGAAATTGATTGCCATCTCATTCGTGATCGTATACTATCAGGTTTTATCAAAGTTCTGTTTGTTTCTAGTGAGAATCAACTTGCTGATGTCTTTACAAAGTCCTTGTCGAGTGCTGTGTTTTCAGGTTTGGTTTCCAAGCTGAATCGTTTGGACATCCACGCTCCAGCTTGCGGGGGGCTGTTGGAGGACTCGATAGTAAAGAATAATTAGTTTAGGGACTATATTGTAATGTTTGTTTACTTTTGTATTCTGTTTGGTTTGTTATACAGTATATATTGTAAATATGGATAGTGTAATTTTTCACCGTTCCATAAATAAGAAAAGCAGACCAGTTTCTTTCTCCAAGATTCAACAAGGTGGATTATATTAATTCCTAGTTTTTTTGCATTCGTGAGCAAGGGTACGTATGGCGGCGGCCATTACCTTAACCAGCCGCGCGCAAGGGTATAGCTGGATTTCCATTCTCCAGCTTTTGATTACTATTGTATCTCCTACTTCTTCAAGTGCCTGAGAGTCCCTCTTGTTGCTTTGTTGTCGGTATATAAATAACTAGTTAAAAGCAAATGACGAGCTACTTCTTGACACTAAGTCGTTTGGTTTTGGTAATTGTTTGCTTGGAATAGTTACAAGCATGCATTGTCCACCATGCATTGTTTTTTTTTTTTTTTTTTGAATTTTATGTACAAACAATACATGCATTGTTTGCTTGATTGACACAAACTATCACTCAAAATGAGTGATAGTTAAATCTCAAGTTTTTTGTGAGATTATTGAGATTGTTGGGGTTTTTTATTTTTCCAATTATGTCCCTACCTTTTTATGTGTGTTGCTTTTTTACATTGAAACAAAGGGTAAAAGTGACATTTCACACCAAAAGGAATATAACTTGTTAAATACTACAATAACTATCATAGAAACCAAACGATGTAAAGTACAATACACTTATTTTCTTATATACATGTATAATTATTATGCATGTATTGTTAGCAATGCATCAATTTAACTATCACCAAAACCAAAGAAAAACTAAAATGGCGGTTCATACTTGACTGACATCCTTCGCATGGGTTTCCGATTGGTTATGTGCCACTGCCACACATACACATGATGACATGACAAAACTTCGTACCAAGTTTTTTTTTTTGGGTTAATAGCATTTTGTACCTTTCTATTATTGCAAATTAACAAACGTACCCCTCTATTAATTTTTTGCACAAACATACCTTTCTAATATTAAAACGTAACGAATTTATCCTTACGTAACGAATTATCTATTAAGTGTTTGTTAAAGGGAATAAGAAATGACCCAATTGCCCTCATTTAGTTTTAATTATTTTATTTATGTCCTAACTTCCAATTCAATTAATAAAAAAAACACCAAACAATTCACTGAAACTCGACAAGAAATCGGAAGATGTCGATTCTGCCGCCTTCCTCAGCCCCCTCTGCTTCGCAATTCACCTACTGAGCTCCGTCGACGTCCTCGACGCAAACGAACACTACGTATTTCCCTATCCCATTTCATCTCCAACAGCCATACGTTGTCGCGGCCCCGCCACAGCTCCGCCTTCTGTGCAGCCGGCTGTTTAGGTTCCGTCTACACGACTCCCATTGGAGGTTGGTCCCGTTTACTCGATCCCTTAATTCCAGCAGGCATTGATTCCAATGGTTTGATGTTTTCTTTTCTATTCAATAATTTTCAATTGAGCCGACTCAGGGGATTAATAGATTCTAATCTAATTGGTAGTTAATGAGAAGGCACAACAGCTGTTTCACAAAGATGCACAAACGATTACCCCGGAAGCACTTGAAGGTGTGAAGGCTGTACTTGCAAGCCCCGAGATTGAACACAAAGCAGAAACAAGGGGAATACTACTCGATACCAGTCCATACCTAAACAAATCTAATTATCTGGAAAAAAAAATTCCTTCTCCCTGGATCACACATCAGCGACGCCAGCTTTCGGCTACTCCCGCGACGTTCCGGCTTTTTCCGGATTCTTATCAAGTTCCAGTGAATTGTTTGGGTTTGTTTTTTTAAGGCTCAATAGCATTTAGTCCGCAGTCGCCGTCGCCGCAACCGAGTCGCTCATAGGTGGAGACGTCGGAGCTCTGGTGACCGTCGATGAGGAGCAGGTCCTGCGAGGAGCAGGCGCCGCCGCCACTGAGTCGATCGCCACGGGTGACTTCAGTAAGAGCGATTCTGAATTAGTATAGGGTTTGATTTTTGGGTAAATACAATTTAATATCCAAACCTTTCATTTTAAACAATATAATAGCCAAACCTTCTCGAAAACAATCTAATATCCAAATCGTCAACTTTCCGTTCGTTTGACCGTTAGTTGACACTTCAAAAAAGTTTTGTTTAGGGGAAATTGTCACAATACAACTTTGTTTCTTGTTTTGGCATTGGAGATGACTGAATCTTTAGATATTCTATACCATCATGGTGGAGTCATGGACTTCTCGGGTTTGGAACTACGATATGTTGGTGGTTTTTCAGAGAAGATATCGATGGATATTGATGAAGTGTCGTACTTCGAACTTTTTTGAAGTGTCAACTAACGGTCAAACAGAAAGAAAGTTGACGATTTGGATATTAGATTGTTTTCGAAAAGATTTGGCTATTATATTGTTTAAAATAAAAGGTTTGGATATTAAATTGTATTTACCCTTGATTTTTTAATTAATTGATTTGGAGTATAAATAATAAAATAATTAATACTTAAATTAGGAGTAAATGAGGGATAATTTGGTCATTTCCCAGCTCCTTTGACAGCCACTTAAAGAAAAATTTGGCCAGAATGATAAACTCGTTACTAGAAGAGTATGTTTGTGTGTTTGTTTGTTAATTTTCTATATTAGGATACACAATGCTATTGTAACACCTTAAGCAAATCCCAAATCGACAAAGCACGGGAGAGATCCATGGTTCATAAGTAGAAAACCGGCCTTAACTGACAAGACGTGTTTTGGGGTGTAATGGAAGAGTTCTTGTGAGAACTCCGAAGTTAAACGTGCTCAGTGTGGAGTACAACAAGGATGAGTGACCTTATGGGAAGTCACCTTGAATTGCACCCCAAGTCAAAATCCGTGCGGGTGTAGAGGCCCAAAGCGGACAGTATCTTGTCGGGAAAAAGTTCGGGATGTTACAAGTAGTATCAGAGCCTCTCCGCGTCCCTCTTGAACGATGGTGGGGCAAACCTCAACGAGGACGTTGAGTCCCAAGGGGGGTGTTTGTAACACCTTAGGCAAATCCCACATCGACAAAGCACGGGAGAGATCCATGGTTCATAAGTAGGAAACCGGCCTTAACTGACAAGATGCGTTTTGGGGTGTAATGGAAGAGTTCTTGTGAGAACTCCGAAGTTAAACGTGCTCAGTGTGGAGTACAACAAGGATGGGTAACCTTATGGGAAGTCACCTTAAATTGCACCCCAAGTCAAAATCCGTACGGGTGTAGAGGCACAAAGCGGACAGTATCTTGTCGGGAAAAGGTTTGGGATGTTACAGCTATTAACTTTTTTTTTTTTTTTTTTTTCTTTCCTCAGCTTGATTTTCCATCCCCAAACCTCCCCAAAGACATAGCAGCCGAATCAAACCTCTCCCTTCCCTTCCCTCTTGGTTCTTGACTTCGTCTTCGAGCCGACCCTCTCTGTCGAAGAACATTTTCATTTCCTTCCCTCTTCTTCTTGGAGGCTCCCCTCTCCGTGGAAGAGGATTTCTTCACTCAGCTGTCCGCCGATTCACCCGCCGTGGTACTTCTCTCGTCAACATCCTCCTTTCCGGCGGTAAGTATTCTGCCTTTTAGTTTTCTGTTGCTTATTGTTCCGCAGATCTCCTACGAATCTCATTCCTTTAACTCTTACATGGATCCCTGGTTGTTCTTGGTTCTGTTTGCAAAGTGGCTATGAGCTAAATTGATTGTGATTGTAATTTGGTGCTGTTTGTCAGTTTGTATCGCTAGATTTGTGCTTTCCAGATGCGATCTGTTTGCTTTGGACATTTCATGTGAATTTCAGTGATTCTCACTGATTCTTTGCCTTGCAGCTAGCTCATTATCATCGCCGCAGCTTTAGTTAACAGCACATGGGATCTGCTGCTGAATCTGCGACCATGGTGAGACTCTTCCTTCTTGTTGTTTCCCCTAATTTTGGTTTCCGCCAGTTTGGTTTAGTCGAGTATTGTCGCTTCATACCTTATTGCATTGGGCCTCAAACTTCCAACTTCAACGACAAAGAATTATAATGACAGTCTCAAAGTTTAACCCTCTGGAGAACAAGCTCTCTTACCAGTATGCGATTCACAAGACTTAAATGCAATACCAAAATATTTCCTTCTCCATTTTCTCTGTTCATAATCTTATGATGCCTGTGGATGCTGGCCATGTGCTATGTTAATCTTATCAGTCTCATGTGTCTGATTGTAGACAACCCATCGAAGTTTAGCTGAGAAGAAGCCTACTGTTGTTTTTGTGTTGGGTGAGTATTTTTCTTTTCTTAGTTTATGTGCTTACTTTGGTAGTTAAGTTTATTGAGCTATGGTTCTACTTGGTTCTTTGGCTTCTGAAAGTGGACAATTATATGTCAAGCTTAACCTTCGTTCCTTCTATGATGAATTCAATGGTGTCATGTATTGGCCTATCTGTATCTCTATTCTAGTTATTGTCTTCCCTGCTCATCTGCACGATTGCACAGAATAAGAAATATGACCAGTTATGTTCTCGATGCAGACTTGGTCTTGCATTGAATAAGAAATACCTGGTCATTGATATTCTCTACGTGTAATTAGGTTTGATTCTTTGTTTGAATCCTTAATCTTCATTCTTATAACCCTTCGATTTCTATGATTCTATCTATTTGGGTTGTAAATTTCCATCTGACTTATAAGGTGGCCCGGGCAGCGGAAAGGGTACGCAATGTGCAAATATTGTTGAGCACTTTGGTTATACACATCTTAGTGCAGGCGATCTTCTTCGGGAAGAAATCAAGTCTGGCTCTGAAAATGGGTATGACGTGCACTAATGTAGCTATTTAAGAGCTGAATATCTGTCTAATCTATGGAAGCTTGCCCAAGTTCATAAATTTGGCTTCTTCTTTGTCTTCATTGTTGCTTGCCATCATAATCTCATAGCTAGTACATGTTTTATTTGGGAGGCTACTAAGTTAGCTTTGATAGGATTCTCAAAGTGCTACTAATAGTAACCTGTGGTTTGGGACTGTCTAATATGTTCACATTCCACACTGGAAAAATAGCTGTTTCCTCGTCTTGTTTGGATTTTTTCTTCTGCCATTACAAATACAACTTTGTTTCTTGTTATTCTGGATGCTAATATAAGATTGCCTCTTTTGATGTGCAGAACCATGATCCAGACGATGATTAAGGAGGGAAAGATTGTGCCTTCAGAGGTTACAATAAAGCTCCTCGAGAAAGCAATACTGGGTATTGACAACGATAAATTCCTAATTGATGGTTTCCCTAGGAATGAAGAAAACCGGGCTGCTTTCGAAGCTGTTGTAAGACTCTTGTAGAAGCCTGTTTCTATCTTATCCAAGGAGATTGATATAATCTTTTGACCAGTGGAATGTTGTGATTATGTAGACAAAAATCGAGCCAGAATTAGTCCTCTTTTTTGATTGCCCAGAAGAAGAGATGGAGAGGCGGCTTTTGTGTAGGAACCAGGTTGAGTTAATGTTACTTTTTGTTGTTGTTGTCTCTCCACCCTTTTCTCCTGAACAGGCTTATACGTTGTTAGCCGTTTACTCTCCTTTTCAACTATCACTGATTTCCTTCCATTTTGTAACAATGAAGGGAAGAGAAGATGATAACATTGAAACGATAAGGAAGCGGTTCAAGGTCTTTCTGGATTCTAGTCTTCCGGTGGTTGAGTACTATGCTGCCAAGGGCAAAGTTAAGAAGGTAAATCATTTTACCTCCTGACGTATGGGTTTACATTGTAATTTTGTTGGATCTCTGTTCTTTTCAAGTTAAATCATTGATTTTGTTTGTTTGGTCTTCAGATTGATGCTTCCAAGCCGGTCCAAGAGGTTTTTGCGGCGGTTAAAACCATTTTTACCCCAAAGGATGATAAGGTAAAGCACCACAAGTGTGCCATCTTATAATTCACCGAACATATTCGGATGTATAATTGTGGGAACAAACGTTTGAGTGTATATTTGTTGCCTGAAACAAGGCATAAGAAATAAAGATCAAGCATTGAGCTTTGTTTGTTATTTTCCTAGTATTCCTCGTCTTGAATGACTTATCTCTAAAGGTCGGGCCTACATGGATTTGGATGCTCAATTCTAACAGAAGTTTGAAAATGAATTATTAGGTGGCCTTGAAAGTTCTATAGTGACTGTACCAGTAAGCCTCATTGCTCAGAAATGCAACAAGTGCGAGTTGTCTGACTATGATATTTATTGTTTGTTGCAAATCAGTCAGTGTGGCCGGTTTTGGGTGGACATTGCTATATGACTAAGTTGAAGAATCAAAGTAGAAATTGGTGTGGAAAGGGTATAGAGTTAGAGCCGGACCAATAAGACCCTTCCCTAGGAATTTCATTGCTGGGATGCTCCGCAATGGCGCAGCATCGAACCTTGTCCCATATTCTCAAAATGGCATTTCCTTTGGTGCCAAAAAGACGGGCAAAGGTTAAAATTGAAATAGAAGAAAACGAAAAGGTATTTAGGCGCCAAGAAGATGCTCAAAGGTTGAGTTGAGCTTTGGGCATCTAGAATTGGTGAGTCCTTTTGTCGATTTGTCTGTATACACTTTTCTCCTGATTCTGGAATCATGTTTTCTGCAGGCTGCTAATAATGTCAAAGAGTCTCACGGCAAGTAGCAGAATTTGCAGACGCGACTCTTTCTGAGGTAAGTAAGCACCTTGTCTCGTCTCTATCCGCCATTTTTTAAGGTGGCTCATGACAGCTCGAGGTTTCAGGAGCCATATCTGTATTTGAAAAGATTATGGGGAATGACTTGGATGTTATTAATTTGCATACTTAATAAGTTTCCGTGGACAGGAATTGTTAATGGGTTGTATGTCATGAAATGGTGTCTTTCTACGTTGCAGGGGGTGATTTTACTTCTATACTATACTGGATGAGGAAGATCCATCGAGTCAGTTGCCTATTGCGGCTTGTGTTATTACAACAGGTCATATAGTGTTATTTAACGAAAGATAAAGATACAATTTAACCATTCAAAAGAAAAGAAAAAAAAAAGATAGAAGCAACACTGCTGGTGTTGTCCATCCTTATTCTTCTTGCTAGTAAGAACCGTTGCTGGTTTAACTGTGACGAATAAAAATGGGGGATTAGGAGATAGATATATTTTATGTTATCTTCTCCTCCCTTTGATGCTTTTTCTTTTCTGAAAATATCTGTAATGTCAGCTGAAGAGCGAATGACTTGTTAGTATGTGAAGTTTATCAATCAGTTGATGGACGGTGAATGAATGTTTCAAGTGCACCAGCACAAGTCTAGAAGGGCTGTGTGATTCGTTTTTCTGCTTTTCTTTCTTTTTCCGCATGGAATTTGGTTCTGATGCATTTCCATCCGAGCCAATTGCTTTCTACCTTTTTGCCAGTGGGGAAGAAAATAAAGATTAGCACAAAAACAAGATAAAAGCAAAAAGAAGAATAAGATTCTGCAGTGGATGGATACATTAGCATGGAGATGATAGCCATTCAGCCAGCCATTTTTTCTTCTAGTTTAATACAAATTAGGTGTCCTGATCTCGTGTTTAAGAAGTTTTCATTTCTACAGGCATGGTTCAAAAAGGTGCACTTAAACTCATATTTAGGCATGTGTAGATGTTAAGTGATGTTTAAACACATCACTTAGAGGTTTCGTGCCTTATTATTAGTAGATATAGAGTGTTTTGGATCGGAACTCCAAAGAAGAACCCTAAATTTCAAACCCAACCAAGCTCTCATTTTCTCTCTCCCAGACCCCATTTGCTTTCTATTTGTACAGTCTAACTGCAAACATCATGGGCTGAAGATCATGGTCGTGATGTCGATAGCTTGATCGTGATCTCGTCCCAAGACGCTGAGTTTTTTCCCAACTTCACGGTCTGCTGGTCAAGATCATGGTCTTGAGACTGTGATCTCGACTCTGTCCGTGAGCTTTTGGAACCCTCATGTTCCTTCAATGATCAATTTTCACGGGCTGGGGCGATGTTTCTCCCAGCATGTGATCTATGCACTTTTTTCATACTTTGGCACTTTCCGATCTCTAATCGTCCCAAATTCTTCCTCGACCTTTGCACACGTGCTAGGACCGGAAAATATAAAAAGGAACACAAACGTGCAAAATAGGTCGTGGAGCAAAGAATACCAAGTCAAACGGTCAAGAAATGAAGGGTAAAATATGTGTAATTATGCCCAAATCAAACTCCAACGCAGTTAAACGTTTGCTTGGCGCCAAGCAAACCTAATCACACACAAGGTAATCTTTCTACATAAAACACAATAACTCGATGACATGTCAATGGGTACAAAGTAAATGAATCTCAATGTCTTTTTGGCTACTAAGCACTTCACGAAGCGAGAATGGGAGCAAGAGTGTGATTATTAATATTATATCATTTAAATTCACTATTAGTATCAACTTTTGACAAAATACTCACATCTCACATGAAAAATGAGACTATATAAAACATCCAAAGATAAATACAATGCCAATCAAGAAACATCGCAGTTCAATGACTACCTCGTCATGAATATCACAATAAAACTCACATTAGATCCCAAGTATAAACCTTAATTGGGTGCAATATAGGGCAAGTATGTTTAATATCAACCTGGGTCGGTCTATGTACTCCTACTTCGATTGTTTGAAACATTATCTAGCGATTAGTTGTGCGTTGAAAACTATGATTTACAATTAAAACGATTATAAAGGTAATTGGTTTTCACTCTAAATGAAAAGGATACCATGACTTGTCGAAATGAATGAAAACTTGTGGTGGAGGTAGTTGTGAACCACAAGGGAAGTGCAGCTAGTGATGGAACATCACTCTCTCTGCCTCTAGGTCAAGGAATTCGGATTAAGCTACCAAGTTACTCTCTTGGCCTAATATCGACTAAGGACTGCCTAAACTTCTCTCTCGAATCGAAGTTCGGACGACGAAAACACAACCAACCTAGGTGCTAATACGAATAAGGAGGGTCGCCCTACATTAACCTAGATAGGAGATAAGATTTTCCTAAGAAAACCCAGCTTTACAAGCCTCTTTCTCAAATCTTTGCCTTGGAGTGAAACCCTAACCTCTTCTTCCTTCTTGCTCGTCACTTTCTCTCTCAAGAATGTTGAAGAAGGTTTTCTCACTGAAGGCCTCCTCCTTCAGTGAGAAAACCCAGCTTTACAAGCCTCTTTCTCAACGCCATGCCCTCACCAAGGGCACATTGCCTTGAAGACTCCAAATTGAGGGTTAAAAAACCCCGATGAGAAGAGCTCCAAACTGAGGGTTAAAAAACCCCGACGAGGAGAGGGCACATTGCCTTGAAGACTCCAAAATGAGGGATAAAAACCCCCAATGAGGAGAGCTCCAAACTGAGGGTTAAAAACCTCGACGAGGAAAACTCCAAACTGAGGGTTAAAAAAACCCCGACGAGGAGAGGGGGCATTGCCTTGAAGACTCCAAACTGAGGGTTAAAAAACTCCGATGAGGAGAGCTCCAAACTGAGGGTTAAAACCCCGACTAGGAGAGGGCACATTGCCTCGAAGACTCCAAACTGAGGGTTAAAAAACCCCGATGAGGAGAGCTCCAAACTGAGGGTTAAAAACCCCTACGAGGAGAACTCAAAACTGAGGGTTAAAAAACCCCGACGAGGAGAGCTCCATGAAGAATCAACAATGGGTGAAGGCTACACGCCTTAATGAAATACACCAACTTGGGGGCAAGACGCAAGAACCTGGCACCGCGTCAGCCAAACGCGCCACCAGCTGGGAGGCAACTGGGGTACATAGGGCTCCGTCCAAAATTATCGATGAAGATTTTAAAAAAATAATAATAAGCTAGCGATGAGTTAAAACTCACCACCAACTTGGGGGGCAATTGTTAGGGGTGTTACTAAGATACTTCGCGCATAGACTAAGTAATAGTGCATCCAATCGATAACGTATGACAACCCATCAGATCCTTAGTGAATATGTAGTAGTATTGAACTATTAATGCTTATTGTAATGACTAATGAGTATTGTTTTTTGTTAACTAGTAGTAATTTGAGTAGGTATAGTACTAGTTCTTTTAAAAAGCATCAATCAGTACTAATTAAAATTACTAAATCATTCTACAAAAAATTACTAAATCTCTATTAATGCCAATACAATTACTACTGAAAATCATATAATCGCTATTATAAGCCACTTAAATCACTACTAACTTAAGTAGTACTGGTTTTATATAATTTCAGTAGTGATTTTTTCTGCACGAAAATCTAATGCGAGAGATTTTAAAGTTTTATTAATTTATTAATTTTTCTCAAATACCCAACACCCATGACTACTCGCACCGTTAGATTAGATTTAAAAACAATGAACGGTGATTAAAGTAGTTAGAACGGTGCTAACTCCTATAAAATTAGCACCCTAGCCGTTCCTTTGATTCATGGCCCTGGTATTATCCAGTAACCAATTCTCCGGCCCGATTAAACAATGCATCTCAAACATCTCCACTCTGGCATTGCTGGACTTGTCCATGAACCAACTTTTGGGGGAGCTATTTCAATCCCTCGGTCGACATCCTTCCTCGTCTTGTCCTTCATATATTGATCTTTCCTCAACATCTTCCATGGTGAAATATTTGTAGCTTATGTCAATCATCGCTACATATTGGAGTGATAGACCTCAGCCACAATTAGGGATTTGGAAATCGGGATTCCGACGATCATGGCGGCATGCATACATATAAGAGGTTAAAAGGCTTAACTATCCCTTTCCCAACAACTCGAGTTATTGGGACGAAGTGGTTAGTTCGCTAACATGGTATCAGAGCCTAGAACCGAAAAGTCATGGTTTCGAATCCTCATAACAACCCCCATTTCATGCCAATTCGTTTAGCACAAGGAATGGTATGTCCAACCTGTGCAAACTAAAGCTTCGTGGTTTGGCAGCACAAGGATTCAACCTGTGCAAACCGTAAATATCCACAATTCGGCATCGGCTTTCGTTTCATGGGGCGTATAAGAGGTTAAAAGGCTTAACTATCCCTTTCCCAACAACTCGAGTTGTTGGGAAAGGGATAGTTCACTAACAATACAACCTCAATTGTCGTCGTCGGTTACGTTTAAAGTGTAGGAGTGACCTGTGGGACTATTAGGGATTTGGATATATGTACGATGGGACGACGACTAGAGATTCGAAAGAGTTAGCAACTAGCCGGCAAAAGAGTGAACGACAGACTACGTGCAGAGAGGAGAGAGGTGAATCCGACAGAAATATAATTAATTATTTTTTATATTTTTAATAGCTGGAAATGAGGTGAAAAATATAAAAAATAATAAATTTTATTTATTTATTTTTTAATTGCCATGCCATATTTAACGGTCAAATATAAGAGTTAACTACCACATAAGTAAAAACTAACGAAGTTGTACGAAGAGTGACCAAACTTGAAATACTAAACTAATTGTAGTGACCACAAATGGAATAAAAAAATTTTAGTGGCCAAAAATCTCAATTACCAAACTTGCAATTTACCGAAACTAATCTGTAAACAATCTCAAATACTACGTCTTTGGCTTCAAAATTCTTCAAGGATAAATAGTAGCTACAACATAGTTATCAATCTATGAAAGAACCAAAGGAAACTATCTTTGCTAATATCAGTTATAGTAGATTTGTTTAAACCAAATTCTCGGTCAGAATAGAATTTGACCACACAGCAAGGCAAAGGCCAGCAACGTCAGAGGCACGCCGCAAAATGCTAGGTCATAGTTGAGCATCACGAGTTGCATACTTGAAAGTGCTTTCCTCCACAGGATCCTTAGATGCAGATCGACTCCACAAAGATTTAAAGAGCAACATAGTATTCAGTCGGGAAGAATCTGCTCTCCATCAGCATCAGCTTCAGTCTCCACCTGTGGCTTGGATGGACCAGCCCCAGGGGCCTGTTTCTTCTTGATTCCACTAACAATGTCGTCAATCCTCAAAAGCATGCAAGCTGCTTCTATCGCCGTCTTGAATGTTTGCGCCTTCACGTTGTAAGCATCCCATATCTGATACAACCATAAAGTTATCAGATTTATCATAATCAACACTTATATGTCTATTTATAAAAGCTCATTAAGAAAACAGGAAAATCTTGATCTCTTTTCCAAAGAAGTTTCAAGGAATACCCTCATAGAATAAAATTTTCAGAGGCCAAATTTTGTCATCTGTAGGGTATGCATGCTATTAAAAAGTGATATAACGAATCTGGCCAATTGGCCAAAGGGAACTTGACAATCTGCAGGAAAGAGGTGTCCAAATTTTAAAAATATTCTAAGGCGGCACAAGAGACGGATCTGAAACCCCATACACACCTTCCTCTCTTTCATGTCACTGATTTCACCAGTGTTCCCATCAATGCCAGTCCATGCATTCTCTCCATTTGCATGCTGAATCTCAAGCAATCGAGCAAAATTAACAAAACATTCATTGATATTAACATTAAAGATGCAACACTTAAATTCACAGAACGGAGCAGGGGCTTACTAGTCCTTGCAACTCGGTCATTTTCCGGATCACATTAACACCACAGTTTTGGGCCAAAGTTCGTGGAATAGCCTCGAAAGCTATAGCAGCTGCTTCATAAGGCCACTGTGGTACAAACATCATTAATCCTGAATCTATCTAAAAAATTTCATGTCAACACATTAGAGTTCCAAGTACCTTTTCAATGCCTTCAACAGAAGAACTCTTCTGCTTTAGTGTAGCAGATACAGTTAGCTCAGTAGCACCGCCTCCAGGAACAAGTTTTGGGTTCTTAAGTATGTTTCTGGCCACAGCCATAGCATCCTGTATAATAAACATAAAATTCCTCAAAATAAGAAAAGATTTTCACATTGAGCATATTAGAAGTAAAACGACAAACACGTCTTGATAAGTACCTGCAAGTTCCTTTCCACCTCGTTTAGGAGATCCTTGCTAGCACCTCTCAAGAGAACCGTACAAGCCTTTGGGTCCTGGCAATCAACAATGAAGGAGAAGAACTCATCTCCAATTTTCTTAACCTCAAACAGCCCAGCTGCGGTACCAACATCAGATTCTTGCAACTCGTCAGGTCTGTTCACAATAACAGCCCCACATGCCTTTGCAATTCTGTTGTTGTCTGTCTTCCTCAGCCTTCTGATTGCACTGACACCAGCCTTGCTTAGATAGTGGGTTGCCAAATCGCTAATACCCTTCTCCGTGATCACCAAATCTGGTTTAAATTTTAGAATTCGAGAGCAGATATTCTCAATGTACTCCTCTTCCATTTTCAGCAGAAGTTCCCAGTCTTCTTCTTTAACCAGCTCGGCATTTGTCTGATTCTCACCTTTCTTGTACTCCAGTGGACAATCAAGAAGAATGATACGTGGATTAACAATCTTTCTCCTCATTTTTCCAGGGGCCACCACATCTTTGTTAAACATAACGCCTTTGAGAACTCTGGATTCCTCTAACTGGCTGCCAGGAACCTTCTCAACCTTGATATACTTCTTGATATCCACTTCCCGCAGACCTTGGCCGAGGTCAACACCAACAGTAGTGGTAGCATCAATTGCAAGATCCTTGAAATTTAAGTTATAAAAATAAATTAACACATTAAGTATAGGAAATGTCATTTGAAGCTGAAAACATGAGAAAGAAATATCACCACATACATTATTAATATAGTTGTACATCATCAAAGCATAATCCTATAAAAATAAGTCTTGCTCAAACACACATGTTACAACAGAACTCGGAATAGAATTAAGGTTTGTGAGAAACATACAGCAATCAAGTCTCCAAACTGACTAGTGAATTTCGTGCCAATACAGCTCTTCACAAGGCTCAACATTATTCCACCTGTCACACATTCACAACCCATTTAATCAGAGACACGGCCAGTAATGTATCACTGATTTCCCTTCTTTAATTAATATATCTGCTTTGCCATCAGAAAATGAAATTTATTACACATTTCTCTCCAACAGTATATACATCACATACTGCAATATGCTCAAAGACATTGGCAAAACATCATTCTGTGTGCATGTGCAGTAGAGCTAAGCCACATAGAACCAAAAATGAAGTGTTCAGACAGAACACAACATAAAGAAAAACTGTTCCGAAAGAACAAAATTCAACAGGCAGCCAATCAATAAGCAGTAATTAATAAATCAAACCTATAGCGACTTACGGTCATTCACATCAATCGTCATAGCAATTTTATCCAGCACAGCAACAGCATCCTCTAGAGCTTTGTTGTATGCTGTGAAAAATAGTAAATAAATAAAAATGTGATCTTCACAAAACTACTCGCATCTGAAGAAGCCACCTCAATCCTTTCACATACCTCGACATATAACTGTAGGATGATATTTTTTGTCAATGAAAGCTTCTGCAACATGTAGCATCTCCCCAGCTGCAAAATGAATTTTATACAAGAATTATTCACACGAATACTACTTATGGATTTAACCAATATCAAAGAGGAATTTTAAACTCTACCAAGAACAATAACAGATGTTGTTCCATCTCCCACTTCTTCATCTTGTGTACGGCTCAACTCAATCATTGACTATCAAGAACGAGGAGTCAGCACAAAATTAGCCAAATAAGGTATATCTAGTGAGAAAACTGATGGAAAAAACAGCAGAGTACAATAGGACTCGATAGTTTACAACTTTAATAACTAAATACTGTGGAGAAATGGCATTGCAAACTATTGTTACTAGAAACAAGGCAGAGACTAAGTGGGAAACAATAATCACAAATGAATCTTTATGCATGCAGGTCTTTGGAAGGGCATGAAGTAGTATCACCACTATGTAAAAAATTGATGTTAGAGGAGTCAAAGCGGGCTTGTACCTTCGCTGCTGGATGAGCTATATCTAACTCACGCAAAATTGCATTTCCATCATTAGTAACAACAATTCCTGTTATCAAAGAAAAACATCAGTATACTGCAGCAAAAACTCATCAACTCCATAGAACTATAATATGAGAGTATTTTATGAGCTATGCAAATAGGAAAAGTAAAAGGATAAAGCTAATTCAGTATGTCTTAAAATGAGTCCCATCTACAGGAGATGCAGATAAACATGAACTAAATCTTTCACATTTGGAGGGATCCCTCCACTTTTCAGATCAAAGGAGTGATGAGGCATGCGTATTAAAAGGAAACACAAGTGAAAATTGTGCTTTGTGAATGCACATAAGAGAACCTCAAACAAGCAATCAGCTCACCTCCAGAAGCATCAAGCAGCATCTTCAACATAGATCGAGGGCCCAAGGTCGTTCGAATAATATCAGCAACAGCCTATAAACATATTTCAGCCCAATATGTTACAAACCATACAGAAATATAGTTCGAATGTATACAAAACAAAACAATAGAACATAGCTACCAAGATATCAGGTGCAAATCATGAAAATCCAAAACCAGAGAGTGTTAAGCACAGTGGATCAGAACACAACTTTTCATCAACTAGAGATTGAAAATCTAAAGAACATTTACATCTCTTGTAAAGCTTGGCATCAATGAATTGAAGACATCAAGAACTAATGAGAGTCACCCAGAAAACATTCGACGGAGCAACTTGGTACCGATACCTTTGAGGCCTGGATATTAGCATGGTGGACCTTTTGTCCAGACTCGCGTTTCAAGGAGTCATCTGTTCGGAATAATCAAATCAAACAATGTGTTACTGCTCATACAAAAGCCTCCCAAGCAACAAAAAGCACAAAGATAAATCTCGATCCAGTGTTGAGATGGTAGAGATCAGGCCCATTGTTGGTCCGCGAGAAGAGTCTAAATAGAGTATGTAAGAAATTTTCAAGCTAGAGAGAGCAGTCTTACTGAGAACAACAACTTGAGTATGCATCTTTTTTCTGCTTGCACTTCTTCTTTCTAACTACAAGAGTGGAATAGGCATGATTCAGAATGGTCCAGAAAACGAAAAAGAAAGTGAAACCCTAGTAGGGAAACGAAATCAAGGTAAAAGCAGGTTACAAGCACCTCAGAGCTCGCGATTTTTGCCGTCAAAACAGGAAACCCGGTGCTTCCGATTCTACTGTCAATATGCGCAGCAAGAGTGGGATGGTATCTGGGCAGAAGCGGCGGTGTGGAGATCGAGAATCTTCTCCCACCGAAATAGATCTCCCGCGCCTCTTTCCTCCTTTTTGTTTTCTTTCCGAGGTTCCCTTTGCCAGCTTCAGCTTCAGCTTCTTCACGGTAAGAACCCTATGCGTGTGTGTTAATAGATACCTTTTTAGTGTGTGTGGTTACCTTGTATAAACTAGTAACAAGCAATTCTGCTGACCTGAGTTGCTGAGCGGGCGGGAGGCTGGAAGAAGAAAGAAGCGGGGGGATTTACCTATATATTTTAGGGCCGGCGGTGGAGAAGTGAAAGTGGGGTTTTGGTAGGGCACTACGGGAAACCAGAAAACCGCTATGTTAAATTGCATTACCATCCTTTTCTACTAGCTTTGAGCCCAGCGCGTTGGCCGGAAAGTGGGTTCCTTTTTAAAATAATATAATATAGTTTGTATTTTACGATAATGTCTAAACACGCATAAAATAGTTGTGTATTACTGTAGTAGAAAATTAAACTGTGGTATAGTTTAGTAACTAAATAGAATTAGAAATTGCCCCCTAAATTATGATGGCATATGAGTAATTTCGTGTATGGTGGTTGAATTAAATGATATTGATATAGTTTAGTAACTGTAAAATAGAAGTGTGACTCGTGAATATATGAGTGTAGGGTGGGTACGTGGGTGGTTAATTCGCAAGTTGATATCGATCTCCCGCAAATAACACGAACAGCAAGCAGTAGATGATATGATGCAAATTATTAGATAATATCCATTAGATATCGAGATGTAAACTATAAACTATTAATTAATAGTATTAAAATCGAAGAATGCGTAAATTTTCTCTACACAATTGGTTAATAGCGTAATGAAAATTTTTATGCTAATTAGGAATGACAATAGGGCAGGTCCGGGGCATGTATATCGATACTCATACCAGCCCCGTGGCAAGTCGAGTCCAGTTCGGCTAATTTATTATTGGGCACGAGTCGGGGCAGTTCAACCCAATAGGTATGTAATTTATGCGAACCTTCAAAATATTCGTTATTTTCAGTAAAAAACCAAGAAAGAAACCATAATATGATAAAATGTACTTAAATTATTGGAGAAATTGAGGTTTCCACTTATTTACAATTTTATTATAGCTAATATATGATGTAATAAGAGGAAAATCCTAAGTAATTTGATTAGGATTACATGTAATTTAGGTAAGAACGGGTTGAGAATGGGGCGGGTTAGAGCAGGTCGGGTCGATGAAAGATACCCATGTCGCCCCAAAACAGGCCAAACAGGTCGGGTAAAAACAGGTCAGGTCAAAATTGTCACTCCTAATGCTAATACTACATGGACTCACATGAGAAAAAGTTGGAAGTAGGAATGGCAATGGGGCAGGTCCGGGGTGGGTTTCTTGGTACCCAGACCCGCCCCGTGGCAGGTCGGGTCCAGGTCGGGTAATTGATCACGGGTCGCGGGTCGGGGCAGGTCGACCCAATGGGTATGCAATTTATATGAAAAACATTAGAAATATTCGGTATTTTTATTATAAGACTAAGAAAACAAACAATATTATGACAATTGTAGTTAAATTATTGGAGAAATTGAGATTTTTACTAATTCACAACTTTATTATAACTAAAATATGATGCAATAAAAGAAAAATTCTTAGTAATTTGACTAAGATTACATGTGATTTAGACAAGAATGGGTCGAGAATGGGGCGGGTCAGGGCAGGTCGGGTCGATGAAACTACCCATGCCCGCCCCGCCTACGGGACGGGTCGGACCCGCCCCAAAACAGGTCAAACAGGTCGGGTAAAACGGGTCAGGTCGAAATTGCCATCCCTAGTTATAAGTGTCTAAATTGATCAGTCTTACGATTTTGCTAGAAACTTATTATAAAGGGTCAATACAATATAATAGCCACACCTTTTGTTTTAAACAAAATAATAGCCAAACCTTTCTGAAAACAATTTAATAGCCAAACCGTCAACTTTCCGTCCAGTCAAATGTTTGTTGACTCTGACTTGGCAAAATTTTAAGTGAGATGAATGGTTTTTTATGATGTGGCAAGAAGTCAAATGTTTGACCTTGCCACATGGATATAAAATAAATTTATAAAATTAAATCTGAACTTCAAAACACCGCCTCCGCCACTCCACTCCCCTTCCCGTTGATCGTCGACCATCTCCATCATCGAATCCCCTATTTCTGCCTCCCGAGACTGCAGGAACCCGCCTTCCAATAACCATACATATTCTGTTGGTATGAATAGCTTTGAAAAGCTATAAATGAAATTCCTAATTAATTATCCAGTATTTTCTCATAATACATAAATAAGATGGATAATTAATAAAAGGAATATTATGGAGATAATTAGGAATAATTATCTTAATAGATTATACTTTAATTATGGGAGTAATTATCTCCTAATTAAAATATGACTTATTCCCAAAGAAAGAGGGAATATTCTAGGTTTCTGCTCCTATAAATAGTAGTCCCCTAGACCCTCTAAATACATCTCAGAAGAGCAGAAACACGAGAGAGAGAGTGAATTCATAGAGCTCCGGTTTTCGCACAAAACCGATGAGCAATAAAATTATAATGGCTGTTTTATCCTGGAGGCGACCGACTGATAGTCTGCTGTGCGCATAACGAGGCAGTGCCGCGAACGTCTTAAAGAGAGCGACCTAGTCTGCGACTCAGCCAGATTCGGTAACCCTAATTTTTCATGTTCGATTCTAACAATTTTAAGACGCACGGTTGTTGTCGTATGTACCGAATAGATACCAATTCTGGCACGAGGTGTGATTGTCGCGGTTCGAGATCTCGAATCACAACCTGCTGCTGTGATGACCACGGCCAACGGCGACGAGGTTCGCTCTTCCGTGGCCAACGGCGGAACCAAGCCGTTCAAGATCCTCGTCGATTACAATCCGCGCGAAGATCTCGCGTACAAGGTCTACCGACACTCCACCTCAAGAGATCTTCAATCCCCGTCGAGATCCATCCGATCATCTAGTCCGACCTCCGGAAGGGCGGCCTGTACTGGCGGGAGCGGGGCAAGCTGGAGAGCACGGAGTTCTCCTTCTCCCGTTTCCTCACCCCGCACATGGCCAATTACAAAGGTGGGCCATGTTCATCGACTGCGATTTCCTCTACTTGGCCGACATCAAGGAGCTCCGCGATCTGGCCGACGATAAGTACGCCATCATGTGCGTCCACCATGACTACACCCCAAAGGAAACCACCAAGATGGATGGCTCCGTACAGACAGTTTACCCGAGGAAGAACTGGTCTTCCATGGTGCTCTACAACTGCGGGCACCCGAAGAACAAGGTGTTGACCCCGGAAGTTGTGAATAGCCAGACGGGTGATTATCTCCATAGGTTCCAGTGGCTTGATGATGGAGAAATTGGGGAAGTCCCCTTTGTTTGGAACTTCTTGGAGGGCCATAACAGGGCTGTGGAAGGTGATCCTTCCACCCTCCCCAAGGCGATTCATTACAACCGCGGAGGGTCGTGGTTCGATGCTTGGAAGAACTGCGAGTTTGCTGACCTTTGGCTCGATGAGATGGAGGAGTACATGAAGGAGACCAAGAAATCAAGTGGGAATTGAGAGAGAATTTTCGCAGTGCCATTAAATTTGGTGGGCCTAGATTATTTGGATCAAATAAACAGCTCTCCTCTACTCCCGCTGCAATGTTTGATGGGACAAGATTTTCATATGAAAGCTTTCTCGTGGACGGCTGGATTATATGAAGTTATGTTCGGAGGAACATAAAGGAGAAAATGCAACGAGCCTAATGAAGTGATGTGGGCCGACTAGTGGACAGGCCCGACTGAATTCGAACTTCCCCTTCAGGGAAGTACTTAGTTAGGATTTTATTGGGTCCTTAATTTCCCTTTTCAAACTGGACTCACGTGAGAAATTCTGTGGCAGGTTAATTTAGATAGAAGAATGGTTGAATGATTCTGGGTCGGGTGGTCTTCTAATTTTGGAATGAGACCATGACAGTTGTGAAAGAAAGAACTGCTTGGAAACTAAGGAACATAGACACTATATGTGTTATGCACCGCAAAAGCCAATGAACTCTCGAAAAGAGGTAAGATTCAGAACCTTCTTTATGAATCATTATGTTGAATGATGAGGTAGAATCTATTTCACTTGAGTTCTATGCATGGTATTGAGAAATCCATATTAATGCGAGAAAGTAAAAATAGAATTGATGCATGTATATGTGGTCATTGAGATGTATTGCCTCGATGATTAGAGTATAGATAGAATACATGTTGTGGAATAGAATGGTTTTGTTTGAATGCGTGCATATATATGAAGAATATATGGGAATAGAATGGATTAATTTTCCTTAGTGCGATATTGTAAGAAGTACTTTTGTCGGTACTAGATGAACCATTGGGGTTGCTCTGAAACATTAAAGGTTCAAGAATGAGAGCATCAAGCCGAACCAGATCCACACCAAATATAATGGTACCCTTTGTGGTAACCATAAGATTGCCACTCAATCCTCTAAGAATGACGCTATGTTTCTCAATTAAATTTGAGAAAAACTAGGTCATATGACACGAAAGTGTTAGAGCAAGTTTAACATAGTATTGTGTTAACTTGATTAAAGAAGAGGATTTGGCAATAACAATCGCTAGGTGATGACAGAGGTTAGCCTTAATGGTAACTCTGGAGAATGGTTGCTGGATACTAGCGCCCCAAGGCATGTCTGTGATAGACGATCTAAGATGGATTCTTTTTTGGACGTGTGTGTCCTTGTAAAGAATTAGAATATCTAAAGTCACATTCCCATATTATTCTCGAACGCTTAAGATAAATAAAAATTTTGTATCCAAGCTAAATGACCCATAAATATGTGCTTAGAGAATCATAATAGATCTGATTTATTTTGATATGGGTAAACAAAGGTGGAAAGATAATAAATTATCTATTGCTCTATAAAGTGTTTTGTCTAGTTATTGGAGATGCTAATTTGAACTAGCTTGAGAAATGTTTAATTGCATTGTTACTAATTGAACTGGTTCTTCAATATATCTCATGCTTGTTGTAGAGTTAACGAACCAGTGCAGTGATAAATAGAAGAGCATATGAGTGTGTTTTATGTTGTCAACAATAAAAACACATAGTTCCTATGTAACGAAATACTCATGTTGTTGTGAAATCCATTGATGCCAATAAATTTCCATTTTAAATCAAGAAATAGTGGGGGTAGTGTCCTGCCTGCTATTAGAAATAATGGATCTAGTGGGGGTGATGAATTTGAGTATGAATTCACAAGAGACAAATGAACCATAAATCATAAACCCTAAGAAAGATCCTACAAGTCTACTAGAAGTTCGAACTTCCATACAGATGCAGAATTGTGGGAGAATCCATTATTAATGAAATGGGATTATTGGAGTCTAATAAGACTTAAAATCTTGTGGAGTTACCTCTTGGTTGAAAAGCCTTGGGTAATATATCGATAGAATCGAACAAGATTTGGCATCTTTGAGAATTACCTCTTAGCAATGAAGTCATGGGTAATAGATGGATTCTTAAAAGAAAAATTGAAACCTATTGGTTTAGTTTATGAGTATAATGATCGCCTAATAGCTAAGGCTTTAAGCGAAAAGGGAAAATTGTAAATTTTCTTGTTATCTATCCACCATATGTAGAATAAGATCCATGTATGTTCTGATTGCTAGTGTTGTGCGTCAGATGGATTGTTAAACATGTTTCTGTGAATGGTGATTTAGATAGGAAAATCTACATGGGACAACCTATAGGGTTATTATTCCTGAACATGCTTAGGGAGTCTATAGTTAGACAAATCATTGTAAGATTTGAAATAGACTCTAAGACGATGGCATAAATAAACTGGTTCTCTCTCATGGTTTTAAAAGTGAAAGTGACAAGTGCATTTAGTACAAATTTGAGAATGACACTTGCATTATGAATGACACGTCGATCTTTGGTACAAAGACTTGTAATGTCAATATTGAAAAACCATGATGGTTGAGAATTTTGAATGTGAAGGATCTGGATGAAACTAATGTTATTCTTAGAGATCCTAATAACTAGGAAAATACAAGATGTACACATGCATACATGTTTGATGATGCTCGTATAAATGTTTAAAGATGGATAATTATCCAGTATTTTCCCATAATACATAAATAAGATGGATAATTAATAAAAAGGAATATTATGGAGATAATTAGGAAAATTTATCTTAATAGATTATATTTTAATTATGGGAGTAATTATCTCCTAATTAAAATATGACTTATTTCCAAAGAAAGAGGGAATATTCTAGGTTTCTGCTCCTATAAATAGCAGTCCCCTAGACCCTCTAAATACACCTGTAGACACCACATTTTGTCCGGAGCAACCATCCTACTCAGAACTCGGAAGAATAATCCATTTAAAAATTAAAAAGAAAACCCAAGTGAAAGTTTGGACGAGTTTGGTTGAGATTAGCAGTGCAAATCAATAAGTACCAATAATTTCGAAGTCCTCTTTCTGTTTAGTTCGAATATTTGTACTAGGTAGGATTAGCTATTAGTTTGAATATTTGTACTAGGTAGGATTAGCAGTAGCTAATGGCTACCAAATTCGCTTTATTTAGAATAACAATAGTATGCCGTCACGACTTATACTAGTATTACTATTAATGATTAGTGACATAGGTTTGAAATTGGTCAAATGAGATAGGAAGACCATAGTAAACTTACTAATATTGGTGAATATTGGTCGAAATTCATAATTGGGAACAATTTATTTAGAAGTTGGGATATGGGTCACGATTGGAGAAAAAGTAAACGAATTGGGTTGGAAGAATCAATTGAATGTTTGAGCAATACATACAATGATCATCTAATTCTGAAGGCAATAACATAAATAAATAAATGTGTAATTACAAATTACAATTTTAAACCTTTAAGATACACTTAGTAATTATACATTAAAAAAAAAACTATCAGAAACAAACCCACACCAGCAGCCCAATTCTCAAACTATAAAACTCAACCCAGGACCATATTTCGGCCCAATCCAGTATGGTCTACCCAGGTCCACTCTGGTCAAATCGGTCAACTCAGGTCAACCCAATCAATCAAACCCATCATCCTTATCTTATCTAAAGGAGCAGCAGAGTAGCAGTTATCTTATCTAAAGGAGCAGCAGAGTAGCAGAGCAGCAGAAATTACTGCTCTCAAAAGGAGGAATTCGGCCACAAAAAGGAGACAAAGACATTAAAGCACTAAGCACCAAAAGAGGTAGACCAGAAGCACTAAGGATCCAAAAGGGGCAGAGAGTCAGAAATAGCAACAAACTATTGCCATCAAACTCCACCAGATTGCAACACAGGTTGGTATTTCCTCATCAACCATACAAGCATCTAGTCATCCATACATCCATGTAGAAAAATTCATTTAACATGTTTGTAAATGATGATTGCTTCTAAATTCATAATCCATAGTTAGGATTAAGTTTGTATGTGAAGTGGGTATTACGAAATTCTGATCTTTGTGACATTTATGCCTCTTTATGCCATTTTTTTTTTCCGTTACATGCTACAATAGACAGATTTGGTAATCACAAAGTTCTCATTTAGTTGTCATTTGTAAGCTGAATACAATAAAAGCCCTGCCTTTATCAAGAATTCCATTTATTACCAATTAACATTAGCCTTTCAATCAATTATTTAACCAAATCCCAACTTTAGAGAAGCTTCCTATCAAGCTGATGGTCATGAGCAGTGGCTATGGCCCAAATTCGTATAGAAGCTTCCCATCAAGCTGATGATCATGAGCAGTAGCTATGCCCAACAAAGAAAGTAATTTTCAAAGTATCCCAATAAAACTGTTTTTAGCTAAATAATTAAATCATAGGTTCTTAGCAGCCAATCGAGCAAAAAATATCTAGATTGAGAGGGATATCACCTAGTCTTCTTCAACTTGAATAGATCTGCAAAAAAATTAAGAAACCAAGAATCAGAACCCCAAATAATGATAATAAATAAAAAGCAGAATAGCAAAAAAGGTTAAAACAAAGGACTTACCCCAAAACCAAACCCTCGCCGTCGGCTCTGGCGCAGGCCGCGCCACCGGCGACCGCCGCCTTTCCCTTCCTTCCCTCGGCGGAGATCCGAAACCAAAAACAAAAAAACAAAACAAGTCAAATCCCAATCTTATTTATTAAATCGAACGAAAAATGGACATGCATGTAGAATAGAGCTTACCAGAGGGTAAAATCTCCTCCTCGTCACCTCTGTTCCAACTAGAAATGGTAGATCGAGATTATTAGAAGGTAAGTCAAGAGTCCCTCCTCGGTTTTGGATCGATCTCCGAAAGAAAAACAAGAAAAAGGTTAGAGCCTCATTCAAAAACCCAGAAATCAAAAGAAAATAGACTTGCATGCAACGATCTTACCTAGATCGAAGGTCTCCCGCTCGATTTTCAGCGACCTACGTCATATCGAGGAGAGAAAGGGCGGCGGCTAAAGGAGAAGCTCCGAGGAGTCTCTTCACTCGGGTCGTTTTTGCTGGCGGCGGCTATGGGAGAGGAGAAGGGTTTCAAATTTTGATTGGTTTCGTTTGCTGTGTATGG